CTGGCAATGGGTGTAAACTGAAGGAAATAGGGAGCCGACCCCTTTCCAGCGCATCCTCTCGCCTTAAGCCCAGCTTCCCTACAGGGAATTTAACAGGTGGCTCCGCAGGAATCTGGCCCGCTAAACTCAGATGAACTGCCCGGTAAGCGAGGGGACCCGGTTGGGTTGTTTTCTTTGGGATCCGCAGCCGGCGGAAGCCCGGGAGGCCGTTCTGGTCCGGGGCTGCAGTGTCTCTGACAGGTGGGCTGCTGTGATGCTTCTGCTGTCACCGGTCTCTTCAGTAAGGGTCTGGAGGTTTGGGTGTTTTGGCTTTCTAAAGTGATTTGCGACGCTTTTTAAGGAATCTAGACTGTAAAGTTTTCAGTTGCATATAGGTAATATCCGTGAGAAAATAATCACAGAATGGTTTGGGTTGGAAGGGACCTCTGGAGATCATCTGCTTCCAACCCCCCTGCCAAGGCTGGGCCACCTAGAGCAGCTTATGCAGGAACATGTCTAGGTGGGGTTTGAATGTCTGCAGAGAGGGAGACTCCACAACCTCCCTGGGCAGCCTGTTCCAGTGCTCTCCCACCCTCAGCGTAAAAAAGTTCTTCCTGTTGAGGTGAAACTTCTTGTGTTTTAGTTTATGACCACTGCTCCTTGTCCTATTGCTGGGCACCACTGAAAAGAGTCTGCCACCATCCTCCTGGCACCCGCCTTTGAGATATGTGTGTGCATTCTTTCTAGTTGGAAATGTTTGAGACCCTTGTGAGGCTTTTCCTTTATAGTAATTCCAGGATTTAAAACTGTTTAGTGCAGGCTTTTCAAAAGCACATATTCTTGCCCTTAGGCATTTAGAGACACCGACAAAGAAAAATGGAGCTTTGTTGATTAGAGTGTTAATGTAATGTGCCTGTTGCTTTGAGGGAGGAGTACTTAAATGAAAACATTCCTTTTTAATAGTGATACAAACTGCCATCCTTTCAACTAGTTGCACTGAAACATTTTCTTCTTAAAATTGATTAAAATAAGTTATTTTCAGGGAACTTGGGAATTGAGTTTTCACGTGAAGCTTTGAATTCTTTTCCATTAGACTTCTCTTGCTTTATTTTCCTATCCTCTATAAAGACCAAACTTTCTTTCTAAAAAGAAAGAAAATATTATACTATTGGATTTGAGAGTCTTTTTGGAAAGAGATATTTTTCACATTCATACAGAACTTTAGATATTCCTATGACTTTTCCCTTTCTGTTGTCTTAGAGAATACCTTTGCTTTTAAGCTGTCCTGCATAGTACAACTCAGCCGTACTTTGTTTTGATGGAAATTTACAGTTTGATAGAGGCTTACAGTTGATAAATTATATTTTTGTGAGTAGTAGCTGATGCTGTTGACTGCTGTTAAAAAGTATGTGTTTACAAAACTTGCCAAAACATATTTTTCAGCTTCTGAAACAGAGTTAATTTCTGGTGGATCTGATAAACAGCTCATTCTGTGGGAGTGGAATGGAACAGGAGCATGGAATGACCAGGTGAGCAGCAATAACCTCTTTGTAAAACTCCCCCTGCTGTAGTTTCTCATGTATCACAAATTACCTGTTTTGTCTGTATTTCTTATTCATAACTCTTCATTTTAACTTGACTTTTGAACCCTCTGTGTATGTACTTCAAATTGTTGATATTCTGTCATGCTGTGTGTTACTTTAAATGTTGTTTCTTCTGTCATTTGTCTTTTTCTAATCAGCCTTCATTAAGAAATTAGCTAACCAGTTGTCAGGTAGACTTGTCTAGCATGTCTAAAAGACCCTGTTTGTCTGTTCTTGAGTCGTCAGCTTTCTGATCGCATGTAGCACTTTCCTTTAAGCTGCCTTAAAAATCTGTGAACCATGAGGTTCATTTTGAGTTCAGCTTTGAACAAAATCTTACCACGTCAATAGTCATTATTATGTAACCCTTCTTTGTATTTTCCTGGAATATGCTATAACTTAAGCATAGCTTGGCAGATGCTCTGCTGTTGCAGCTATAGAACTTGTTTTCAGTGTTAAAATATTTCTTAAAATGGCTTGAAAAGTTCTCTCAGATAAGTTATTGGAATTTGAAACTTTGTAAAACTTTCTGATGTGTTCAGCTTGTGAAAAGGGTTCCTCTCAAAGGCCATGCTGAAGCTGTTTGTGCTGTGGATGCTGTCTACCAGTCAGATGAACCTGATTTAAAACTGCTAATAGCTTCTGCAGCTTCTGACTCTACTGTGAGAATCTGGTCTCGACATGGTTCAGAAGGTAACTTTTTAACAAACTTTGGAAGCAAAAAACTGGCTTAATAAAAATGATGCATGCTTATCCATTGAAGTACTCTGCTAAGTACTAACATCTTTTATTGCAACTACATTGATTTCTCCTGCAGCTTTGGTACATCAAACCATTGTATTGCTCTTTGAAAGCTAAGGGTTATGCTAGATAAACAGCTTTGGGTTAGTGTTGTTCTGCAGAATGATTTATCTTTGTTTTCATCAGTGATGTGTTTGCTGAATTTACTTGTTTCTCTTAAGTATGTGTGCAGAATCTGATAATCCGAACCATCATTTTGCCCTGTAATGTGCGGGCAGACTATCTATATGTATACGTGTGTGAAGTAAAATAGTTAATGCTGGCATTAGAAAGGCGAGATTAAACCGGTCACTTGTTTATTACTATTGACTTGAGTCCAGTGAAGTTTGGGGTAATAGGATATTGACCCGGTGAACTAGGCTCTTGCATAAAAATGTGGCAGAACAGCTATTTGAAATATGTAAGAAATAAATAGTGTGGATAATCTAGATTTAAAATGGTACTTCTAAGTTGAGTTATACTGACTGCACTTTGAAGCTACTTGGTTTTATCTGCATTGCCCTGCCTTTATAAGTGAAATAGGGGGGAGTTACTGATCTTCAGTCCCATGTTCTGGAAGGCATTTCTCCTGCTTCCAAAGAACACCATGATGTACTGTCCTGTCCTTTTTCTCTTGCTGTTGTCAGAGGGCTTTTTCATAGAAACAGAGATCTCAGGGGTGTTTGCAAGTTTTTGCTTGTCTCTCTGTCTGCTCAGGTCATGGAATGAGTTTTAGCTTTCTGTGTAGTGAATGCTGTTGCCGCAGGATCTCATTTGCAATATTTATCACTTCTGATGTTTTACCACAGTGAAGCTGTACAACTTTAATACTCAGTGGAGAATAGCGACTTATCTTCTAACTGGATGAATTCCTGTGGCCCCACAGAAGATAGCGTTGTTTAGGCTTCTGAAAAGAGTGGAAGCTTTTCAGCTCCTTAAAATAAAATTGAATGGGAAATTTTAGCTACATAATGAAGTAGGAAATTACAGTATAACTGTAATACTTATGATGAATAAGATCAACACTGTCGTTCTTGTTTCCTAGCTAAATGCATTGAAATTCTGCAGTTTGGAAATGGATTTGTTATGGATGTCTGCTTATCTTTCTTGCCTGGCAGCAATGGTAAGTACGGCTGCACATCTTGAATATCAATGCAGGATATGTAAAATCTAAGAAATCCCCCCAACAGATTTTAATTTGACTGACTGCAGACCGTTGTGGAATAATTTTTATTTTCTATGGAATCAGCCTAAGCTGTTGCTTGTATCTAAAGATTTTCACTGGTATCTTGTATGTAAGTATTTTCTTAGCAATTTGAAAAATATTGACTGATTATAGTGTCTTCAGAATGATGCTGAAATGAAGAACTTTGCTTGAACTCTTGAGACAGGGAGCTTAAAAAGGGGATATCAGGGCTGTAAGTGAATGGTTTAAGCGCAGCTGGTAACTTGGAACCTCGCATCTGCTCACTCATTCCCCCACTTCTTTCTACCCCTGCTCCCGGAGGAGAATCGGAGGAATGTAACTCCCACGGGTTGAGATAACAGCACTCCAGTAACTAAGGTATAATACAAACCACTACTGCTACCACCAGTAATAATAATGATAAGGGAAATAACGAGAGGAGAGGATACAATTGCTCACCACCTGCTGACTGATATCCAGCCCAACCTGAGCAGCGATCTGGGTCTTCCGAGCAACTCCCCTCAGTTTATATACCGGGCATGGTGTGCTGTGGTATGGAATACCCCTTTGGCCAGTTTGGGTCAGGTGTCCTGTCTCTGCTTCCTCCTGGCTTCCCCTCCTCCCTGGCAGAGCATGAGACTGAGAAGTCCTTGACTGGAGTAAGCATTACTGAGCAACAACTGAAAACGTGTGTGTTATCAGCGTTTTTCTCAGACTAAAGTTGAAAACACAGCACTGCACCAGCTACTAAGAAGGAGAAAAATAACTGTTACAGCTGAACCCAGGACAGATAGGATGATGCTGTTAGTTTCACCCAGTCTTTGTGGTGCTGCTGCATATGCTTATTCTTGTTTGGATTGAAGGGCAAGATCCAGAAAAAGAATCTGCAGGCCTGTGTTAAAATTTCAGATTAATGAGCAGTATTTATCACCTGTTCAGTCTTAAATGTGAAAACCTTGAAATGCTAGACAAGTTTAATTTGATGACTACTCTGTGTGATTTTTATAGTCTTATATTGATGTAAATGTTCAGACTTTACAGCCTGCCAGAGGCACATTCTTCTGTTGCAAATTTGTAGAAGATTAAAAAGAAAAAAACCCAAGCCCCAAAACCCCCAAACAACTAAATGTCTCATTTGCAAATTTGTAGAAGATTAAAAAGAAAAAACCCAAGCCCCAAAACCTCCAAACAACTAAATGTCTCACCAAGCCAGATACATGTGTTGAATTAGGTTTGTGTTTAAGTATCATTAGAGCCTTTCACAGTTTCTTACTGTATCTAGAGTTTTCAGCTATTTGCTGCATGTGTTCCACGCTGATGTGTTGTTTGATTGCATGCCTCCAGAGCAGTTATACATGAGCTTATTTCATTCTTTGGCTTGTGATAGTTCTAAGAGATATGAAAGCTCTAGCAAGATGAGTTGTCCCATCTGAAAATGCTAATGTCTGATACCAAAAGTAGCAGCTGCATAGCTAAAGAACTTTAAACCTCTTTTTCCTGTAAGTATGCTAACAGGCGGTCGTTGAGCTGAAATGAAAAGGCTGGGGGCTAAATAAAAATCATTACCTCCATCATGAATTTTCGTTAGAAGTGGAGAGTCTGTGGTGCCAGTTTAATGAGTATAAAATTCATATTGCAAAGCAATAGATTATTTATTCATTTATGATACTGTACAGGTAAGAGATTCTCACTGTAAGGCTCTAGAGTAGTGTGTCTTTTTAGTGTTGAAATCATGTTGTATATAAAGAAGTGACCATTCATTTGGGAAACACCTTAAATAAAGACTGTCGTATTAATTCTTAAACCTAAATGCTTCTGAAACCAGAATTGCGTGGAGTGCTTGAAGCTTCTTTAGATGGTGTCATAGCAAGCATTTTGTTCTGCTGTGATAGTCACCAAAGCCCAATGTTGCTTGAAGTTGCATTCAGAACAGGAGAATCCTTAATTACGGCCTCCTCCTGTCCCAGTTCAAATTAGTTATCCAAAACAGTACAGTGCTTATAACCTGAAAAAGAATACTTTACTTTTCTGAAGAACTGAAATTACTTTCAAATAAGAAATTATTTGTGAAGGTCTCGTGTGGAATAAAAACCCCAAACAACCTACACATTTATGTTTTTAATGCCAGTTCCAATATGAATGATTTGTGCTGCTAAAGTTGTCAAGAAACAGTTTAGATTTTGAACCATAAATGTATGGTTAGAGGTGTTTGCCCTTAGAAATCTATAAAGAGTCTTTTAATATAGCAGAGCCATGTGTTGTATTTTCTTCCTAAACCTGACATAGTAGCCCATACAACTGAACTGGTTTTATTCAGAGTATGATGTTAATTCTAAAGTCTAAATAAAGTAGCTTAAATACATTATTAAAAATCTCACTGCTGATCATTTTGTCAGAAACATTGATTTGTGATGGGAGTTTGGAATTCTAATGACCTTCAGGGAAAAATGATCTATGATAACTTCAGGAGCTGCTCTGAAATCTTTATGAAGTCTATGTTGGTAGCTTTATTAAGATTTAAAGAAGGTTTTCTCTTGAGGACAATCTGCATTTCTTAAGTCAGGAATTAAATGCATATTTGTTTTTCTGAAAGTCGTAAACTACTCTCCTGAACTAGAAGCATTTACAGTAACCTCTAATTTTACTAAGCAAAGAAATTTAAAGCTTGCATTGAAAATTGATTCGTACATAACGGATGTTTTAACTTTCAAAAGACATTGAAGTTCATGATGCCTAGTATTTAAACTGATTGTCCTCGAAAATAAATTACTAAAAAAAGTTAAGAGCTATTTTTGTGGAGAAGTCAAACAGGGAAAGCCAATAGATTGTTCATAAAAACTTGAAAAATGATTTGCCCCTGGAGTTATAACTTAAGCGCTTTACTGGCAACCTTTTAGTTAAAGAGTTTCTTTGCAGCTGTTTTCTAAGTCTCGAAATGATGCTTAATCCTGGTTTTTTTGGTTGGTTGCTTTTTGTCTAGCAGTGTCTGCAGAAACTCTGCTGCTGAAATGGTGGGAGTACAATTTACTGTTTCACTGGTCTTGATCATCTGTTTTGTCATGTACTGTGATTCTTCCTACCACTTGGATAACTGTGTTGCTGTAGCTTGGCCTCTGATAAATAATAGTCTCCTCAGAACTGAATTACAACAGGTGAAAATAAAAAAAGACAAGTGAACTTGAAGAGCTTTGGCAATCACTGCCCCGCATTGCAATTGGACTACAGTTTCCAACTTGGCTGCTGAGATCAATAAAATACACATAATTAATTAAAATCTAATACCTGCACTTCTCACACATACGTGAGTTTGAAGGGAAATACTCTTTAGCATCTCAAGTATTTGTAGTTATTATTTACATGCCAAAATAACTTGAGAGTTTTGTGTTATTGAGATACTAGTTTATTTCAAATAGTATTCTGTCTCTAAGAAAATGTAAAAAAAGTGGTATCATTCTTGCCTGTCAGTATTAATATACTTATCGATACTATATTATTTACATATTTATGTGTATCCTACAATATTAGATTTTTGTCACTTGAGTAATGGGAGACTTTTTTTTTTCCTTTCCAGTACCAATACTGGCTTGCGGTGGTGATGACTGCAAAATAAGTTTATTTATACAGCAGAATGATCAGGTAATCAGTTTTTGTCTCTTGCTCAGAACGTTGCTCATATCTTCTGCTTCTTTTCATTTGTGCTGTGGATTTTTTGAGGCTCTTCCATAGCTAATCTATGTCTCTAGATAGCCATAACATACAACTACCTAATTCATCCGTTACCTAGTAATGAAATGCATGTACAGAACATTGAAGTTGGATTCAGTGCATATAAGTGTTAGCTTTTCTTATTTTTTACCCCTCTATGAAGATATCCTGTGTTTCTATTCATAGCTATGACTGTCCTTCTGTATTGTGTATCCATGCATTGAATGGTTCATATGGAAAAGATGTTCCTTTCAATTTATAAACTCTTAAAATAAATCTGTTCCACTCTGTGGAATTGTATGTTTGTTGCTAAATATGCTCTGTGCTTGTGAATGTCAAAGGCAGTATTTGAAGGAGCATGTGATCTAAAAGCACACGCATTTTTCATGTATTATTTGGAAGCTGGCAATCTTAAGTTTTTCATACAGATAAATGTTCCTTTGGAGCACTAGGAAGATTGTGTCCTCTCTTGCATCTGTTTTGCATTTGCATTTGTTAGACTCTAAAGCATATGTTGAATAACTGTTTTCGAAAACAGAAGTCAATGTTACCTCTTTCTCTCTGTCACTCCCTTAAAAAAACCCCAACTAAAACTCAAACCACAAACACTGCCCCCGATGCACCAATGATCCTACTATTCAGAAGCCCCTGTTGAAAATTACATATGTAGAAATCACTTACTCTTCTGGATTTGTTCAGACACAGTGCCCTTAGAGATTAAAAAACAGATAATCCCTTTTACTTTTTGAGAGAGATAAAAGCTACTTCATAGATAATTTTGGTTGTTCACGCTGTCATCTACAATAACAAGATCTTTTTGTGGTTGTTTATTAAATAAATACTTCAGCCTTTATCTGCTCTATTCAGTGATTTCTTGACCACTAAAAGAAAGAAGGGTTGCTTTCTTAGCTGCTTTCCCATCCCTCCATCCCCTCCCATGTAGTTTATGAATTACATCAGTTTAATGAGATTCTCTGGGAATTAGCAATGGCAGAATGCCACTTATGGTTCTCAGTGTGCTGAAGAAAGACTTTTATCTCAGGGGCTGTGCAGTTGATTTTCCTCATTAAAGATCTGGAACTTGTTTTCTTGTATGGTTCAAATTAACAAATAATATGCAGTTTGAGGGCAAAAAATGTTTAGATATACATAACTTATTTTGCCAGTTTTTGACCAAACCTTTGAATATAACAATATTCTTAGCTGTTCTTAAATGCAGTCAGTGGGGGATAAAGGAAAGTAACTGGAATAAACAAGCTCCACCTTCAGTTTCATAAGTAATTTATGGCGCTGTCTGTTTTTGGAGGTAGGAAACCTTGTTCATACAAGGGGTGAGGAATTTTCTCTTATTTTACATATGTTATTTTTCACACCTTCAGTTTTAAGAAGTGTTTTCACCAGCTGTCTTGGCAGAGTTGGTGTTCAGAGTCTCTTTTTTTTTTTTTTTAAAATGAGGTGGGACTTCCGGTTGGTGTCTGTCTTAACTTTCCAGAACATCTCTTTTAATTAAGTAGACTGTACAGATCTGAAAGAGAAGAGCCCAAACTTGATTCCATGTGGAGTAAAAGTGCCTGTGTAGTGCACTACAGCTGTTAACAGAATGAAAATATCCTTGCAAGCCTTCTGATACAGATTCCTTCCTAGCTGCTAGAGGGAGGTTCTCCTCTTTAGTTGGGTTATCTCAGATCGGCTGACACCTTTTTTTAATGGCTTCTGTAGAACTTTTAAAGGTATTTGAAGATTGTTACTTTCATCCTGCCATTTTTTACTAGAACTTAGTATAGAAGAGTAATTGGAATCTAAGCTTCTGCATCATTCCCTTACTGTTAAGGGCTTGTAGCTCTGTCCTGCTAGTTGTGGCTCTTGGAAACCTCTTCTTATAGTTGACATCCTAAAAAAGATTGTATGTACCCAAAGGCAGAATGTAAGTTAATAACGGGATATCCTAATGAAACTTGGAGGGCACTGTTAGACTCTGAGGGAGGATGAGGCATCTTTAGTTAGCTGATTCAGGCTGCCTTTTGATAAACTCATTAATTTTCCAGCTGAAATATATTTATTCATAAAAACTGCTTGGTTTTTGAAATTGAGTGGGCAGGCTTCAAATCCTTTAGGACTTTCTACCCGCATATCCCTTACTGTGTTAAACGGTAGAGAGAAAATGAACTCTTTGCTTTTCTGAGTTCTTGCAAGAAGGTATTGATTTATAAAAATACCTAGGGAAAAATCTTTCAGAAACCATTATATATCTTCCTGCTTGAGATATTACAGGCCTACAGAGGGGAGGTAAGTAAATCAGAGTATCAAAATAGAGCTTTAAAAGAAGACATTTTTATTTTGAGCTTGGTTTCTGAGAGAAGATACTGCAGAGTGTATTTGACTATGTTTCCTCAAAATAATTAGGTCTGATTGAAAAGTGTAAAAAGAGACTCAAAGATAATTCAGACTCTTTCTAATTCCATGACATTAACAGCTAGATAGAGGAGAGATATCACCTCTAGTGTCCATTGGAGAAAAGATGGGAAGACTTGTACCTCTGTTGCCAAATTTGTCAAGCAATACTACCAGTCTGGTCCTGAAGGACATATATGCAAAGTGTGGGCAGAGTTAGTTGTGCAGAGTGTGCTGGGCATGTTCACAAACAGTCTGGCTTCATTAGTTCTACCTACAGAACAGCTTTATTCTTTGCCTAAAAGAGAAGGGACTGGATTGCTGCTACACAAAAATGGTCAGAAATTAATTAAGAGGCGTGGGAAAGCCTGTGAAATAGGTGAGTCAGACCATGAGCTTTTGTTAGTTTGAACTGTTAGTACTGTAACTTTGTATGTATCCAGTGAGGACCAAGGGAAAAACTGAAATGGAGAAGGAGAAATATGAGACTATAGAAACAAAATCTTTAAGAATGATACATCAAAATACTTGTATTTACAAACTAGACAATAATAAAAACTTTGACTGAATAATTTACAAATAATGACCATGTGCATCTGCAAGAAGCTTTAAATTGATGCAGTTTTAGAACACAAACCTGAACAAACAATATGTGATACCAAGAGACACAGACTTCGAAGAAAATGACAAAAACAATACCAAAAAACCCAAGCAGAAGGCCTGACAGCAGCACTACTCCTTCCTCAGTTTCAGTGGACAGTTTTTATTTTTATGGGAAACAAGATACTGAAAATTTTGAGTGAACACTTGTTCGGTAGCACGGAAGAACTGCATGCTTGACTTATGGCTAAGCAGTGCCTAAATGCCTGTTTGGGAAATAACTTGGAAAGCTGGGGTGGTATTAATAACCCCAGAGTAATCAGTTTTGCTCTTTAAAAAGAGAAAATAAATGTCTGCTTTTCTTAATAGTTCTCTTTGATGTGAGACAATACAGGTAATGTAAAAAAATCTCAACACTTTGAAAATAGGAAAATTATTAGATGTGTGTTTAGATTAATATTAAAGTCAAGTTTCAGAAGGTATTCACACTGTTTAACATAAACGTAACCATAAAAGACAAGAATGTTAGCAACAATTCAGCCTGAACCAATCCTTCAGTTGGTAATAAATTTACCACCTAACATTGGTCAATGTAAAATACAGAGCATTATGTCAAAGATCATGTAAGTGAATGAATAAATAGGTGTTTTATCTATTATCTGAAATACATATTGCTAAAAAGGTGTTGGTTTTTTATTTTTAATGTATTGGTAGAAACATGTAGTCTTCAGAAAAACCTTTAGGTTGCTGGTTGATCTCTCTTCCTGGGCTGCTTCTGCCTTTATTTACAGATAACCAGTTGGGTGTTTTAACATAAATACCTAGCTGGAATGTCACATCCAGAAGTGTCAGTGAGTGCAGGAATGACTAGCCAGATGAGGCTTAGGTGGCTGTGAGAACACATTCTTAAGACCAAAACAGTGTGATTTGGAAGTTTCTGTTAAGCTATTCTGGTAGTGTGTCTCATACACAGATCATTCTGTAAGACTGCAAATGCAGAACAAGGAGAAGCTAAATGGTGGTGTTTGATGGGAAGGTGATTTTAGAGAACAGCAG